ATTATTGTTGTTTTATATATATATATATATATATATATATATATATATATATATATTCATGTTGAAATGTTCTGCTAGCCTGCATGGATAGATAGGATCTTCATATAAACCAGTAAGCAGTTTATTTGATTAGATCAAACAATCGTAAGAAGGCTATAAGGGTTAAAGAAACTGATTTTAATCACACACAAAGCAGTGAATAACTGTAAGACCATGATCTGGTATAAATAGATGGTAATGATGAAAAAAGGCTTGAAGAAGCAGCAGAATAGCAGAACACAATGGAAAGCCTATAGCACGGACTCCCTCAAAAAGTGAGCTGGTCACTCTAGTGAAAGGACATAAGCCGCAGAAACGTGCACCTAAGAGTTTCCAACATATTGTACAGAAGTCACATCGGATTAGCACTGAGGACCATTTAGAGCCTTTATACTGAAAAGCTTTTGAAAAAGGATTAAACTATGAAAACTCGCATAATGCTAAAGTACCTATTAATGGGTTTAGAAGTAAGAGGGAACAATGGGAGTGTTATTTTTAGCTAAATCTCTACTTTGTGTGAAGTTGGGGCACAAAGCTGCTATGTTAAACCAATTCCCCAATAGTTCCCAAATTGTTTGAGAAACATTATAGAGGCGAGCACAAAACCAACATTAAGACTGCTCTGCACTTGAAAATAAAACACTTAAAGAGAATAGTCTTCTATTATAGACTGCAAGCTGGGTTGTAGTTAAGGTAGCAGTAGGTATTTTTTTCAATCAATGCCTGGTGTTCACTGTAAAGGTAGTCTTCATCACATTTTATTAGCACTCTGGAAACCATTTTTATTGGTTTTGATAGGCAGAGTTACTGATAAAGAGTGGGGGAAGAAGGGGGCAGCTAGTGAGAGCATGTGATGTCAAGGAGCCAACCAAAAACCTTGAATTTTCTGAATTGCACTTATCTACCAGCATTCCACTATTAGTGGGCATAGAAAGCAAAAATGTGAAATGTATCAAAGAATCGGTGGTTGTTTTTAAACCTGAAAAGCACACATATTTTATCTCTTTATTTTAAGTTAGTAAGCAGAGGGAACAACGTGTACAAGAATTCTAATGAAAATCCGATATTTAAATGATTTCATTTGTTCTTTGCCAGATGAGCAATAATTGTGAATTCCTGAACTCAAGACTTTATAAAGAGCAGCGAATTACATAACATTTTTATTAAAAAATAAATACATTTTTTAGAACTAATTCACTTTTTCTGGTTCCTCAGGAATGCTTCCATCAGTAGGTATTATAAAGGATATTCATGTTTGCCCCAAACAAAAGATGTGAAAGTCTGTATACCCATTTACAATGTGAAAGATTTAATGAGCACAGTTCTTACGTGGAAACTGGAAGCAGGGTGAACAATAATTGCATGAACCTAAGCAGTTGTCATCTCATCAAAAATAATGAATGCTCGAGAGGTTTACTACTGTATATATTTTGAGCAGTATGGCCAGGAAAAGAAGACTACGGGCTAAAAAAAAATATGCCTGTTAGTTCTAGCTAATGCCTGCACAGCAAACCACGATCAAGCGACTAATTGTACAAGACAACAAGGCAAAAGATGTATTGTAATGCTGCTGATGGCCTGCTGTGCATCTACCCTTCTAGAACTGATAACTCATGATCAATAACCATTTTAGGGCGATGCATTTTGCTATATATCTCAGTGTTTCTAGGCGTTAGAATCTAGAATGCTGTGCCTTTTAAAAAACAAACTTTGTAGAGGAGTGAAACATCATTTTGACATGCAATGGGTGAAGTATACTGCAATCTTGCTATAGTGCAAGATTAAACCAAAGTCTTGCAGATCAATATATTTGTGAGTTGTAGGCAGAGTTGACAGCTATGTAGAACTTTGTTTGCAAAGTATGTCTTTATAATGCATGTATCACGTAGAGAGAGTCTTATATAAGATGCACTAACACATTCCAGCTCAGAACTGGATGAGATTGCATATGCCCATTGGCATTTTATTAGAAAGGACATGTCAACATACACATCACACAAAGTTAATAACTCCCCCTCCCCCCAACATATGAACACATACACACACATATATATATATATTTATATATATATAAAAAAAAATATATATATATATATATATTTAAAAAAAAAAAAAAAATATATATATATATATATATATATATATATATATATATATACATAAACACACATGATCTTATCAGTCTGGGCAAAGTTACAATAGTATCAGAAGTGATGTAGGAATTTAATGTATATTAATGAGAGATTATGATAACTATGACAATCTCCACCTCCAAGAAGCACTTACTCCAGTTCGGATATACTAGTCCTAGAGGCTTCAGGTGAGCAATCTCTTTATACATGAGACATATCATGTGTTGTCACCCACCAATAGGCAGACCTCTCCTATCTGTTTGTTGGTGGGTGACAACACATTTGCCGCTGACCCCACGTTGTGTCCTTTTATTCTCTTTCTGGTCATTCTCTATACAATAGAAGTATAAGACCAATTAAAAAAAATGTGAGTTTCCCACATGCTCATTACCTCTTTGTAAAAGTGTTCCAGAATGAAATGCATATATTGGATCGAACTGTAGTTTTAATTATCTATGTGTAGAAGTGTATATCACTGAGGGTGCCAATAGGAAACCCAGAAAAGTGGAGGTACTGTATGCTAACTTATTGTTAATAGCTCCATCACCTATGAACATGTTCTTGGTATCTGGCACCAAGACATTGGCAGCAGATTCTATAAAAGGACCACTCTACATCCCAAAAGCACTTTAGCTTGATGAAATGCTTTATGGGTGAGAAGCACCCTCATTTAACCCCAGTTTATAAAAGTGCTGATTTCTGTGAGATATCAGCCCTTTAATAAATTAACTAGGGAACTCCCCTCTGGCTGTCAATCATAAAGCCAGGGTGGTCTCCTTCCTACTTGAGCAGGCCTTTCTCCCCCTCCCTCCCTGATAGACCTCAGACCAGCTCTTCAGCTTCAGAAGTGCACAAGCAACAGGTGAAACGCGTGCAAGGGCCTGCACATGCGTGCACGTGGGGACCAAGTCAGAGGCTGAGAAGCCTCTGATTGGTTATTTTCCTGTGAAGGGGAAAAAAAAGAACAGGAGGGCTTACAAAGGCTGCAGTTATACGAACTGCAGCTTTTGTAAGCTCCTTTAGACCCTATAAAAATATGCATGCATGTATTCTAAACTGTGGGAGGGTTTTATTTGGGGGGCGGGGGGGAAGGGATGGTTGGAAGTGTGGAGTGGTCCTTTAAGTCCTGCAAGTTGCGAGGTGGGGCCTCAGTTGATTGGATATGTTCAAAGCCAAGGCAACACCTTAAACTTTGTCATGTTCAAACCATTATCCTGCTGAAAGAGGCCACTGCCACCAGGGAACACCATTGCCATGAAAGGGTATACGTGGTCTGCAAGAATCTCTAGATAGGTGGTACATACAAGTAACATCTACATGAATGCCAGGAGCCAAGGTTTCCCAGCAGAACATTGCCTACAGCACAAAACTGCTTTTGCCGGCCAGCCTTCTTTCCATAATATATCCAGCTGCCATCTCTTCCCCAGGTAAACGACGCATACGCACTCAACCATCCACCTTATCTAAAAGAAAACGTGATTCACCAGACCAGGCAACCTTATGCCATTGCTCCATGTTCTAACACCTTTCTATCATGGCCAACATTAAGTTTTTCAGAAAATGTAGCTCATCTGTGTGATCGGACCTGACGGACTAGCCTTCACTCCCCACATGCATCAATGAGTCTTGGGCACCCAGGACCCAGACACCAGTTGTCCTTCCTTGTACCACCTTTGATAGGTACCCACCCCTCATAGCGGGAAAAAACAACAAAAGACTGTTTTGGAGATTCTTTGACCCAGTCGTCTATCCATCACTATTTGGCCCTTGTCAAAGACAATCTTTTCGCTTGCCCATTTTTCCTGCTTCCAACACATTTAAGAACTGACTATTCACATGCTGCCTAATATATCCTACCACCTGACAGGTGCTTTTGTAATATTATAATCAATGTTATCCACTTCACCTGTCAGTGGTTTTAATGTTGTGGCTGATCAGTGTATATAGCGACGGCCTGCCAAAAATGTGGTACATTGGTGAGGTGGCAGGCTTACATAATGTATGATCATATACTGTAACTAAACCTCCCTTATTTTTGCATAGGTTAGGTGTTTTTAAACATACTATTACATTCTGTGAGCTTTGAAATTACTGTTTAGTGAATGTTTGATCGCGTATGTTACATTTAATATTTAAAACATTTTCGCGGAGTTGCTGTAATTAGTGCAGTACAAGTAGAATTTCTCAAATCTGTCCCGAACATAAAGATAGCAATTAAACAATGCCCAAACTGTTACAACATACCTCTATTGAAAAATCATGGACATTATTTACTGAGACAAGAACTATGGGAAATTCATCTGGAAAAGACAAGTTCTACGCATTTCTAAAGATAATTGAATCACATAATTAAAGTCCAGAGATGGTGCTGATGGTATTGTTATGGCTAAGTTACTCAAATGGTATGATTGATGTTTGTTGATTATTTTACCCTCACAATGTAGTTTGAAGTTATAACTTCCAACTGTCGAGCAGTGTTCTTGTGGACAATATATTTTGAAAATCACAATCCAAATGATCTCTAAGGATGATTGCAATTCTTAATTTTGTGCGGTGATAACCAGTCTTATTTCTCCATATTTGCTTCAAATTGGATTATAAATCCTCTAAGAATGCAAGATGTGGCTTTTTCAATTGCACTGATAATTCTTTTTGTTTCTTCCTATATAATGTTAAAGATCACATTATTTCTTTTCAGAAAATGAAACAATTTTTGCTCATTCAAGCACCTTTTTTTTTTTTTTTAAAGAGTCGCCTAAGGCATTTTTACAGTAATGTATGTGTGCATTTTATCGGTTTAGAAAGTATAGATTGAGATTCCTCTATTCAGGTAAGTCCTGGGACACACGAACACTGCCATCATTATATACATTACAGGTCGTGGCTTTTTGAAGGTCCTATACGTGAAGAGCAATCCATGGTATGTAGATCCAATGTGAAGACAAGGAGAATTCAGAAAAGCAGACAGGTGTAAAACACACTGTAATTATAGAAGCTCAAATTAGCTGAGAGGCCCGAGGCTAGAAAGAGAACAGCACCTCGACAAAAGGGAATCGCAAATAAGGAGAGCAAACAAAAAATGGCCTGAATGTGTAAATTAGCAAGAAAAATGAGACAGAAAAGCCTCTTTACCATTATTCCCAGCATGACAACAGAGCAGCTGAGCACGATCAGGAGGGCTTTGGAGAAGAGCGCTATCAACGTTGAAATGAAGGAGAGAATGGCAGCAGTCTGCACTCTCCAGTCACTCACTCATTATATGCTGAAGTGCTCTTGTGAAGTGCCTCTTATACTTGGCCTATCATATTACTTCCTCTGTAAACACATAATCCC